TTCGGGCTCTTTGGCCGTGTTCTGAAGGTTGTTCTTCCTAACGTTTCACCAGTCTCTGTGGCCGGCATGAGCACAGAGTGCTGTCCTCTGAAGATGCCGGCCACAGAGACTGGTGAAACGTTAGGAAGAACAACCTTCAGAACACGGCCAAAGAGCCCGAATAACCCTCAACAACCATTACATCCCGGCCGTGAAAGCCTTCGCAAATACATAGCTCTTGACTTCATGCAACTGATTAATAGGACTGTAGCTTCAAGAAATGCCCAGTTGATGCCACAGTTGATCTCTGGCTGATTTTGTTCTGAAAAATTTAAACTGCTTGGAACAAAGAGACTCTTACTGGCAAGTGAATGATATGAAATGATTGTCTCTGGATGAGTATGTTATATAGTTTGAAGGGAATCATTTTGAAAGTATATTATTAACCCAGGTGTGGGAATGCACTGAACTACAGTCCTCATCATGTCTCATACTTAGCTGTGCTGGCTGATAGGTCTGATAAGAGTTGCACTTCATCCAGAGCCTACAAGTCAGTATCTGAGTTTCCATTGAATTCAATGGCTCATGTTTCTGAGTCAGCATATAGAGAACGGCTTTGTTCAAAATGTTTAGGCTGGTGAGGAGTTAGAAGCAGTGAGCGCAAAAAATAAGGCAGCCGCTTACTCATCACCACACTAACTATCTGTCAAGTCTAGTTGCTTCTTAAAGACTTGCTCCTACTCGCCTTCCGTCTGATGAAATTGTTAGTACGAATTCACTGCTTAGCACCCAAGCCCAGTCACGCTAAAAATCTAGGTCAAAAGCTTGTCAATTACGAAATAAATAAGAGGCTACTAATTGACATTTTTAGATTAACATAAGTCATGCATACAGATTTGTACTCATTTTGTTCACTGATTTCATATCTGTAAAAGCCAAATGGATTTTAAGTCAGAAGTTACTCCAGGTTTATATCTGGTAGTGTTGCCTGGACTGTATGAGAGGTCTCCAAGATGAACAGTGCTGTTTAGCTCCTGTAAAATCAAGGCTGAGGCTTCCTTTAGGGAGTCCATCCATCTCATATTTGGTAATCTTGAGGATTGACTATTGCGATGCTCTCTACATGGGGCTGCCCTTGAAGGCGATTCGGAAATTGCAGCACATGCAAAATGCGGCAGCTAGGTTGGTCACTAATACATTTAAATTAGAACATATTTCTCCTGTCCTGGCCCACTTGCACTCATTGCCAGTATTCATCTGGGCCAAATTCAAGGTACTAATGTCAATTTACAGTTTAGGACAGAGGTCCCCAACCCCGCTCTGTGGCCCGGTGCCGGTCCGTGGCCTGAGCCAGACCGGGCCGCAGAGACAGATGTCCTGCCCTGCCCCCTCCATGCACTCACCCCTGCACAGCTGATTTGCGCATGCGTGCACATGCATGCCCACACAAGTGCAGTGCTGCTGTTTGCTCATGAGCACACGTGTGCCTGCACAAGCACCACACCACCATTTGCACATGCGCATGACCATGTGCTTATTTGTGCAAGAGAGTGTTTGCGCATGAGCGCAGGGAGGTTCCCTATCTTCCCCAGCTGGTCCACGGGGTGAAAAACTTTGGGGACCCCTGGTTTAGGACATTGCTACCTGTCCCTCCGGTCATCCTTCTGTCCACCCATACCTCCCAATCTTTGATGCTTATAAAAGAGTCCTATAAGTTTTGATGCTCAAAAGAGTCCTATAAGTTGTCAACCAGAAACTGGGCCTTCTTGGTAGCGGCCACCCCACTCTGGAACTTACTGTGGAGGTGCAATTAGCTCCCACGCTCCTGAGCTTTTGGAAGCAAGTTAAAACCTGGGTTTTTACCCACGCCTTTACAAGCCTCAAAAGAGATATGGGTGGCACTGAAGGGTAAACTGCTGAGCCACTGGACTGTCAATCAAAAGGTCAGCAGTTCGAATCTGCGTGACGGGGTGAGCTCCCATTGCTTGCCCCAGCTCTTGCCAACCTACCAGTTCAAAAGCATGCAAATGCAAGTAGATGAATAGGTACTGCCTCGGTGGGAAGGTATGGTATTCTGTGTCTAGTCATGCCAGCCACGCAACCATGGAAAGTGTCTACAGTGGTACCTCAACTTACGAACTTAATCCATATTGGAACAGCGTTCGTATGTTGAAAAGTTTGTAATTCGAGACAAAATATCCCATAGGAAAACCATTTAATCCGTTTTGGCTGTTTTTCGTTCATATGTTGAGGTGCTGTTCGAAGGTAGAGGCATTAGTTGCCATAGGAACTAATCAAAACTGGTTAATCCATAGTCTATCACTAGGGGGAGAATTTTTTTCTTCTTTTGACCTAAGATGAACTTAGGTCAAAAAAGGGGCAGGAAAGGTTTTTTTTCCCATTCGTAAGTCAAGGCTCCATTCGCAAGTTGAAGCAACATTTTGCAAATGGAGCCGTTCATAACTCAAAATTTTCACAAGTGGAGACGTTCATAAGTTGAGGTATCACTGTATAGAAAAACTCAGACTCTTTAGCTTACAAATGGGAATGAGCACCGGCCCCTAGAATCGGACACAACTGGACTCAATGGTCAAGGGGAACCTTTATCTTTAAAAGCCTCATTCCTTTGTGATATTAATTTTGCAGTAAGTTTGTGCCGGACCATGGTTCACCATTCTTGAGTCTTGGATTATATGATAGACTGGCGGTTTCATTAGGAGATTTTCTTTTTATATGTTCATTTTAAAAATTATTTTTGTATACTCATCTGATTTTTTAGAAGCCACCCAGAGTAGTGCCTTGGCCACTAAATAGGCAGGGTATAAATATAAATAAATAAATATTTAATCGTCTTCTTTTCCTGC